AATAATCTAAAATCAAAATATTGTAAAAAAGGAAGAGAGAGGGGAAAGAAGGGAGAAAGAAAGACAGAAAGAAAAGTAAAAGGTAATATTATAATTATAATAATGAGAAAGTGTCAGAGTTTATAGTAACTTACTTCTGTTAATTTATCGGTCTCCTTTGCCTTTTCGATAATCTTCCGCACGATCTTTTTGTTGCCCTCGTTGATGGCAATGTGGAGCGGGGTGTCGGAGTTCTCATCGTACACCATAAGGTCGGCTCCCTTGTCTATGAGGAGGATGGCGATGTCGATCTCTCCGTGAAGACACGCCAGCAACAGCGGGGTCATTTTGCGATTATCCGCATTCTATAAACGAAAAGGACATTGATCCATGTACATTGTTTATATAGGTCTGTCTGTAGTATGTGATGTTGTGGTCCATTGAATAAGTCTCTGGACTATGAACAACAGGGTACGGGGTTCGAACTCTTTCAGCGGCATTAATGTCCTTTGGCAAGATACGGGGCAACCTTTAATCAACATTTTCGACGCTCAACCCTGGTGAGGTAAATGGAACCTGACACGTTTTATTTATGAAGGGCGAGTTATCATTATTATTCTAGAAATAAATCATTCATCGACTTGAGATTACAATTTGAAATCATATAAGGTATAACCATTTGATGATTATTATACAAATAATGCACAGGTGTGAGTGCGTTATGGTCGATGCAGTGCATGAGGGTATTCACTATGGTGCAATAAAATTCACGAGGCGTAGCCGAGTGAATTTTGTGCCATTGTGAATAGCTGAATCGCGCTGCATCGCCATAACGTCACGAACGAAAACCTGTGTATTCAGGCGCGGATCCAGGTTTTCTTATGGGGGGGGGGGGCAAATTTGAAATTATGCGAACCAAATATTGGTACGTAATGGTCACAAGCAGGGACGTAATGGGGTGGGGGTGGGTGCAGAGAGGGGTGAGTTGCCCCCTCCCTCCTCCGCGAAGCGCGGAAGCTTTGACGTTTCATCATATTATTAGAGAAAGAAGGCGATTCGTTGTACCGTTCCCAAAAATAATCCTTGTCTGAATTCTGTTTCCCCGCTCCCCCGCTAAGCTTTTACATTTCATTAAATCATTAGAGAAAGAAGACGAATCTTTGTACCGTTATCGACTCTTAATCCTCGTCTAAATTCAGTTCCCCCCCCCCCCCTCTCCCACGCAAAGCGCGGAAGCTTTTACGTTTCATTAAATCATTAGAGAAAGAAGACGATTTGCTGTACCGTTCTCGACTCTCAATCCTTGTCTTAATTCAATCACCCCCACCCCCTCCTGCGCGAAGCGCGGAAGCTTTGACGTTTCACTAGATTATTACAGAAAAAAGACTATTCGTTGTAACGTTCCCGACTCCTAATCCTCGTCTGAATTCAGTCCCCCCCCCCCCGCCCTCCTGCACAAAGTGTGGAAGCTTTGACGTTTCATTATAAGAGAAAGAAAACGATTCGTATTACCATTCTCGACTCTTAATCCTTGTCTGTATTTCAAAAATGTTCTTTGTCTACTCCGTTTTCTTCCTACGTCCTCTTCTTTTCTCTCCTCTCTTTTTTTGGCCAGCGTTTTTTTTTTTTTTTTGGGGGGGGGGGGGATCACCCTACCGCCCCTCCCCTGGCTACGCGCCTGCGGTCAGATGAACATAATTATGTTGATACCTTGTCCACCCCCGGAAGCTCAGGGTTTAAGGCAATAATTTACGGTCAGATTAGCATTCAGGGGTCCGCCTAAGGGACATAGGCGGGGTCCAGGGGGCAGAGCCCCGGAAGTTCAGGGGGTTTTAGGCATTTAATTACGGTCAGATGAGCATTATTTTGATACCTAATTGTGACATTGGCAGGTCACTAATTGGCCTGGGGTTTAGGGGGCGGAGTCCCGAAAGCCCAATGGTTAAAGCACTCAATAACGGTCAGATGAGTATCAAGGGGCCCGCCTTAGGGCCCTTGGTTGGGTCAAGGAGGCAGAGCCCCCGGAAGCTCAGGGGTTTTAGGCGTGGTTAGATGAGCATATTTTGATACCTCATTATTTTGTGACACTGGCAGTTAACAATTTTTTTCTCTCTTGCTCTCTTTCTTTCTATTTCTCTTTAATATACTCTTTCAAAAAAAGTGTTGGGGGGGGGGGGGGGCTCGAGGCTCCCGATCCACGCTGTTTCGTGGGCCCTGACATGTAAGCATCTCAAAGGCATTTTCTTTTCTGGCTTTAAATTTAGGAATTTGTCATTTGCCAGCAAACGCATAAAAAAGTATAGATAACTTAAAAGTGAGGAAAAATCTCGGAAAATTATGTCATTTCAGCATTATTTGTAAACCACCGTTATGGAATTAGAAATAAACCACGTTTTAATTTAATTTCCCCCAAGCCCCCCCCCCCCCCGATCCACACGTTGTTGGCGGGATTAACCGCAACTGATCTCCCCTTCTCTTTACCCTTTTACTTTCTTCTTCCTCTTTTTTGTTCCCTTTTAGCTCTCCTCTTTCCTTTTTCCTTCCTTCTCTCTTTTTTTAGCAGGCGCGGGGGGGGGGGGGGGGGGGGGGGGGGGGGGAAGGGAGGCAAGAGCCTTTTGCCGCCCGATCAACAACTTGTTGGCGGAAAAATTGCAACTGATATCCCCCTTCTTTTCTTTTCTTCTTCCTCTTTTTTCTTTCCCTTTAATCCTTTTTTCTCTTTTATTTATTTATTTTTATTTTTATTTTTTTTCATTATTTTTTTTATTTATTATTATTATTATTTTTTATTTATTTATTTATTATTTATTTTTTATCATTATTATTTTTTTTTTTTTTTTTTTTTTTGGGGGGGGGGGAGGCAACAGCCTGGGAGGCAAGTCCTTTTGCCTCCCTATCTCCTTCTTCCTCTTCTTTCTTTCCCTTTCTCTCCTCTTTCCCTTTCCCTTCTTTTCCTTCTCTCTCTCTCTCTCTCTCTCTCTTTTTGCGGGGGGGGGGGGGGGGGGGGGGGGGGCAAGGCCCGCTCGGCCCCCTGGATCCGCGCCTGTGTGTATTATTGGTTTTATAAAATGAGTCTATTATCAAATCTCTTCAGAAAACAGCTGAAAGTTCGGCTTCTTAGAGGCTGCCATCTTGCAGCAGGGTCACTCGTCACTCGGTCATTTACATCGCACAAAATTGTATGCAGTGGGCAAGGGCGCGTATTTGTGCGCAAACACACAGCTAGCTAGCTACAGACGATCGCGCGAGAGCAGTGACCTTTGGCAGTGACCTCATAAACAAACTGTGCAATGCACGGTAAACATCCATTGATTTACACGCAGCCGTGTGTTATGCTTTTCTGTTGCATACTTTTGCAAGGCTGATATCACCAAGATGCGTATTGTTAAAATTAATGCACGCACACGTAATCCATTTTGACGCTTCTCATTGGATACATTCTTGAACCCATTTTTATAAAAATGATTATTAGACCATATGGATAGTAAAGAAATGGACATCGGACAAACTGGGAATTATACCGACTGGCAATAAGACCAAATTAGTGATAAACCAAATGAGCAGTAAACTTATTGGATATTAGATCAAATGGAAATTAGACCGAATTAACTATTAGCCTAAATTGTCATTAGACCAAATGATAAGACGAAATGGATATGAGACCATGTGGATAGTAGACAGGCTTGGTGTATACCATATGGGGATAGACTAATTGGGTAGTAGACGAACTGGTTGAAGAGCAAACGACAATTCATCCCTCCTTCAGCCTTTGAGACCGACAGCCTACATTACCGGTCTCGAGAACCCTCAGGAAAACTGTGTGGATTTAGTGATATATATATATATATATATATATATATGTTATGTTTTATTCAAGCAAAGTTGTCTCTTCAGTTAGTAACATCACGGGTGTCGATCCCGGGGGTGGGGTGGGGGATATATCCCTCCCCCCCCCCCCAATATTTCAGGTTGGGGGGATGGCCTGTGCAATCATCCCCCCCCCCAATAATTCACCATCAAAAAAAAAATGAAGAGGAAAGTTAATGATGAGAGCCCGATGAGAGTAGTTAATGGTTATTACTCGCAAGATGACCATCAATATACACATTTTGCTATCTCATTTTCATAATACATACATAATATACGAAGTAATTGAGACAGCCGTATATGAGACAAGAATAAATTGAATTCTCGCTCATACGGCTTCATCAGGAATTGATGAATTTATTCAATTTGTTCAATCAACAGCATCATAGAAATGCAAAGACGCAGCGTTAAAAAGCAACGAGCTAAATGTTAAGCGCGAAGCGCAAAAGTAGCAATATGCAATGCACATGAGACAATCCTGGACAGTGTAAACATAGATGAACTCTGTGACCAATTCGTGATGAGATCGGAGACAAGGAGAAAGCTTCCGCGCTTCGCGCGGGAGCGGGGAAACTGAATTCAGACAAGGATTTAGAGTCGAGAATGATATATCGAATCGTCTTCTCTCTTTAATAATCTAATGAAACGTCAGAGCTTTCGTGCTTCGGGGGGGGGGACTGATTCAGACAAGGATTAAGAGTCGAGAATGGTACATCGAATCGTCTTCTTTCTTTAATAATCTAATGAAACGTCAGAGCTTCCGCGCTACGCGCGGAGGAAGGGGAACTTAGTTCAAACAAGGATTAAGAGTCGAGAACGGTCCAACGAATCGTCTTCTTTCTCTAATAATTTAATGAAACGACCAAGTTTCCGCGCTTCACGGGGGAGCTATGGGGAAACTCCTCCCTGCACCCAACCCCCTAGGGAGCGCGCTTCGCGTGCTCACTACCGCCCCTTAAAATGAAATCCTGACTACGCGCTTGGGGAGGGGGTGTAACCTGCCACACGCTTCTACCTCTTGGTTGCTTTGATCCATTGCCGAAAATATTTTGGCACCTATCATCCCCCCCCCCCCCAACCACGGATACAAATCGACACCATTGAGTAACATATCAATACCAGTAACTAAATAAGGGCAAATAATTGCTATGAGGTAACATTAATTCAGCCGTAGAATATGCGTAGCGTGAGTCTACCGAGGGAGGGAAGAGGGGGCATTGTTTTGTTTTTCTTGTTTTAAACGGAAATGAAATGTGAATTTACAAGGTTACTGATTATGTGAGCGGTGTGAGAGGTGGTACACAGGCGTCTTCTTTTCACGTTCTTTTCACGTTCTTTCACCCTTTTCCTCTTTACTTTCTCTTTTTTCTCGATTCTTCTTTCTTTTTATATTTTAACCTCTTGATTTGGAGGCAGATGCCCCGTGCCCCTTTAAGCCACGCTACTGAAAATTATTGTTATTTTGGTATCCATTGAATTTATTTCTCAATACTCCAATTATTTTGCAGACATAACATAGAAGGAGAGCATTATCCATAGTCTTAGCTAATTATTTACATTTAGTTCGGTATCACTCTTAGAAAGAAGTTGAAACACAGCTTCAGTGTTGCCATTTAACGTGGCGATGTGCAGTGGATTTCGCCCTCTGATGTCTGTGGCATTCTCATAGGCATCACTCGACAACAAGAATTTCACGACGCCTTCATCGGGAAGTGTCGACATCCTTTTGGCTGCTACAACCTGATAAAAATGTGGTAGCAAGTTATTTTTCACTACCTTTCAGTATTTCCATCACAAGTGATGATATCTATAAGAACTGTTTTCTTTCCATGTGCCTCCGTATATGAATAATAATAATATAAATCTATTTCTAACCAGATCGGCTTTCGTAAACTGTAATCGTTTTAAATGGACAAAGGCTATAATATGATTTTAAACAATGGCCTACTTTGTGCAAAAATGTTGTCTACCGAAAACAGGGAAACAGTCGCCATTTTATATCATGAGCACTTTGACTGTACATGTTTATCATTTACTTATGAAATAACATTCAATAATAACTTATATGAATGTATGAAAGTCCCTTACTTTTGATAGGTCGTTCTTTGTACCAGCCGCTAAATGAAGAGGACAACGACCAGCTTCACCGACAGCGTCGACGTCTAGACAGCACGTGACGACAGATATGTGTTGCCAGATATTTCAGCAGTCAGCAGTGCATAGTAGTGGCGCATAAATAGAAGAATAGGAAAGAGAGAAAATGGGGAGTGGTAAAGATATAAAGGGGGTGAGAGAGAGAGAGAGAGAGAGAGAGAAGGAGATAGAAGGAGAGAGAAGGAGAGAGAGAGAGAGAGAGAGAGAGAGCGGGGCGATGGATGGAGAGAGAGGGAGAGAGAGAAGGAGAAAATCACTCACTGTATCAAAACGACGTTATTCCTTCCTCTTTTACGACTGACCAGGTTTTGTGCCTGCAAACTATGGCTACGGCGTGTCTAATCGCTCAGGAGAACCTATAAATGAAAACAGTTATAACTCCGCGTTATAATCCCACGGCGACCCGTACGGCCTGTTATGATAGGGATACGCCCTAGGGTGACCCTGAGGCCACCGTAGATTCCCTACGGCCACCGCAAGTATCTCTCAATTTCGGGGGCGTACGGGCGCCGTTTCCTTGCCGTAGAGCAAATATGACCTAGGCATAAGCCGATCGTATAATAGAGGCGCATCCATACCCTCTCGACACCATTTCAGCCATCGCACCGGCAATGGTTGAAAAGGCTTAAACTGCGAGAACTCTTGAAAGTTAGGTGACTGATCTCAACAGATTGGTCCGTTAGCTTCCCGGCCCCCCCCCCCCCCACTCAGGTTTCGAAATGACCGCATGCGTGTTGCCAAAATGTCCGGTAAAGGGGTACTTTTCGTGCAACAAAGTCCGGCCCGAGAATTGTAAAAAAAAGGGGTGTATTTGACTTTTCACCCGGAGATTTCTTTAAAAAGGGGGTGTTTTTTTCTTTTTTTCTCTCATCTCTTTGGACTCCTGAGAAATTATTCCGAATTTAGGGGGGTACATTGAGCATTTTCCCTGATTTAGGGGGTCTCCAAGGCAGGAAAAGCCCGCGAAAAGCCCGAGAAAGGGGGGTTCGGAAATGTTGGCAGTCCTCAGATAGGGGGTGCTTTCAAAAAGAGGGAACGAGCATATGCGTACCCTAAATAACACTGAGTGGGGGGGGGGGGGCCGGGGTTAGCTTACGACCGTCGTCGGGCACATGCAGCGTAGTAAACAAAGAAGTCGTAGTCGCAGCCGCCAGCGCAATGTAAAACGCGACACGCCATCTGACGGTACGACTGACACCATTGCCGACCGCCTTGCTTGTGACAGAAATCGGAAAACTAGTACACCAGAGGGTTGGTGCGACGAACTCAACTGAACAGTCAGATAGTCGTCTTTTCTATCTTGTAGACATAAACTCGTGCGCGAAATTTCTGGTTGACACCGGCGCGGCCGTCTCGGTATTCACTCCTACAAAACGGCAGCGAACTTGTAAATCAACCATAATGTTGAAGGCAGCAAATGACTCCATCATTGCCACTTAGTTCGCTAATTTTAAACTTAGGTCTCCGTCGCCGTCGCAAATGCTAATGTGTGTTTTTTATTGCCGATGTATCTGTACCAATACTTGGCGCATATTTCTTACACCATTTTAGATTGCTTGTTAATCTGCACCGACGTAAGTTAATCGACTGCGTAACGGGATAACACGTAACGGCAAACATTCGAACTGTCCGTGTATAAGCCCCTTGTTTGATACAACCGACAATTCTGCTCCATTTTGCGAACTTCTTCCCGCGGAGTATAATGACGTCAATGTACCCATCTACAAAGCGCAAGCATTAAAGTACGATGTAGTTCACTACAATACGCACGGTACGCCAGTCAGCGCGAAGTCTCGCAGACTTGATCCGGACAATTTGAAGATAGCGCGAGATGAATTTCAGCATAATTATGCTCGATTTGGATATTATTCCCCCATCCAGCAGCCAATGGGCCTCCCCATTACGTATGGTGCCCAAAAAGACAGAAGGGGACTGGCGCCCTTGCGGCGATTACAGAGCGTTGAATCACGCAACCGTTCCTGACCGTTACCCTGTGCCCCCATATACAGGATTTCGCAGCGAGTCTCCACGGAATGCAGGTATTCTCGAAGGTAGATTTAGTCCGAGCATATCATCAAATTCCTGTCACGTCCGATGATGTAAGGAATACCACGATATGTACTCTATTCTGTTTATTCGAATTTGTTCGGATGCTATTCGGATGGCGGAGTGTAGCCCAGTCATTCCAACGATTCATAGACAAAGTGCGACAATTATTTGACAGACTCTCTAAAGTTTGGTGTCGTAGTTAATTTAAACAAGTGTGTGTTCGGTCGAACATAGCTAGATTTCTTAGGTCATCGAATCAATGACGCCGGAGTCGCTTCCCTACAAAGTGGCAACTATCCGTCAATCTAGTTTACCCCTCTTCCTTGGAAGGTCTACGCTTCTACTCCACTGTTCCTTCCATCTATTTTCAATATCCCTTGTGCTGTAAGTCTCTTTTTAAAATATTATATCTGCTTGCTTATCTCTACACCAATATAATATGTTCTGCCTCTTTGATTTATCTCGTACTTCTTTTACATTTAACAAAACACAATTACAAACAATAGATACACTACTATATTCTATTTAAATGAAATAAAAACAAAGAACTAACTTGTCAACTGTTCTTAATTTAAACAAGCGACGGCGAGGCGAACACAAATAATCTTACTTGGTTATTTTCTGGTCATTTCATTTACACTGGAGAGGCTGCGACACCTACACATACACACACCTACAATAGCATACATGAACAAAAACAAAAAAACACTCTATCACACACCACAACAAAACGTTGCCACGCTGTGAACGTTGCCACACTGTGAACACTGCTCCCCCGCCCACTCCCGAGGGACAATAAAACTATACCCCAGATCATTCAATCTAACCTAATCCATTATCATTATCTCCACAAAGAGAGATTTCACCCCCTTTTTTATAACTTGAAGGACTATCCTTTAATGTCATCCGTTACACACGATATCCACATGTGAATGGTAAACATATTTGAATTAAAAAACCAACCAACTGTCCTAAAGAAAATGCATACATTATCACCATTTTTTAAGAGACCCCTTCCCAACGTGGTCCTTTATAACTTTGGACAGCGCAGAGAGCCTCAACAATAGGCCAATACCCAACCACGCCCCAAAGTGACGGCTACCAGCCATCAACAATCAGAACCGTGATCCAAAAATCATCTGTTACGCCTTCAGAGGGTGATTATATATGCCAAAGAGCCCACAATGGTCGATTAGAGGTTCATCAACCCCAACATTCACAGAAAAATGTATTACATTACCATTAATGAATGAAAGTTCCCAACATAATTATAATGCAAATCTTCAAGCCTGTTTATCCATTCAACCGTACAGAGAGTATCACAGCCCTCAGTTGCCCCCCCCCCACAAAAAACAACAACAATACATCCCATATCGATCACCCCTCCACCTGCAATCCCCACACGATAGGTTCCCTTTATCTACTACACACCTCCACCAACAATCGCCATCGTCTAGATCCCTGCACTCATACCTCCGATTTCACCCCTCCATCATGAATGCCCCCAAAGACATCTTTCCTCCATTTCACCTGCAACACCCCTCGATCAACAATCTCCATCAGTCACCTGCATTCATTCCTCCCACTTCAACCTTCAAGCATCATTCACCCCTACCTGCCCCATGTTGAACCAGGAGCTTCACCATGTCTAGGTTGTCGATGCGGGCCGCGTAGTGGAGCGCGCTGTTGTCCTTGGCGTCGTGCTCCGACACTGAGTCGAATATGTCCCCCGGGTCCATATCATTCAGAAGCTGTTGAAGCTCTTCGAGTTGGCCAGCCCTCGCGAGCTGAGATGTAAAAGATATAAAACTAGTGTCATCCTCAAAAAGATCAAAAATATATGAAATAAAAAAAGACATTATCGTACACTGTTAGAAAAAAATTAAACAAGTTGTTTAAAATTTTAAACAACCCCGAGTTAACCGGTGAATCGCTCAACGTTGTTTAAAAATTAAACAAATTAAGGTTGTTTACATTTTGAACACTTAGTTGTTTAAAAATTAGGAAACCTTTTAAGCAACAGTTGTTTAGTAATAAAATTGCACAACTCGGTTGTTTAAAGCAAGTTGTTTAAATTTTAAACAATAATGTTTAAATTACTAAGCAACTGTTATTTATTCAGTATTACTGCACAACTGGGTTGTTTAAAAGGAGTTGCTTAAATTTTAAAAAGAACTGTTTAATGGTTATTATCTGGTTGTTTGAATTTGTGAAATGACCTACTGGAACCACTCCTGCAATAATCACAACGATTTATACACTGCAACATGCAGAGCTTGTTGCCAATTTACTTCAACATTTGTTCATCATATTCATGGCAGTGACAGACAACATTATTATTTGTCTCTATAACTTCACCTAAACCCCATCGGCGAAGCCGAGAAGAACCAAGTCGTCGCCTTGCCCTTGTTCCGCCATTTTCGTGTGCACTGCACTGCACTAGCACTTGCACTGCACACACTAGCACTGCATGCTTGCATGCATGTATTATGTACGTACTTTGTGCATATCGCATGTGTGTGCGCAAATAGCAATCGCGTATCGAGAAAATATCAACGATAGTTGTTTAAGTCAATCGAGCACTGAATTTTCGATTTTGAACAACGTTGTTTACTTTTTTAAACAACATTCTTTTAAACAGTGATATTTTAAACACCGTTCTAACAGTGTACAACTTTGACTAGTTGCAAGCACTGGATTAATATTTGAATTTAATAAAAAATAATAAAGAAAAAAGAGCGGTTGCCAGAGGCAGCAGCAGAATAGGTGTACTGTAGCAACAGTAGTATGTGACTAGACAAGTAGAAGCGGTAGTAGTAGTAGTAGCAGCAGTAGTAGTTGTGGTAGTGGTAGAATTCATAGTAGTAGTGGTGGTGGCAGGCGCGTACGCAGGATTTTTTCAAGGGGGGGGTTAACATTTATAAATCGGGCCGAAATTTCGCAACGACGGGTAAGAGGACACTTTTTTCTTTTCTTTTTTTTGTCTCGAAATTTGAAAATTTGACATTTGGCTCCGTTTGGGGGGGGGGGGGTAAGGTCACCTTTTTAGGTTAGCCATGGGAATTTTTTTTTTAATAATTAAAAAAAAAAGGGGGGGGGGCGGTTTAGGGGGTGATGGGGGGGGGGGTACACACATAAAAATACCAAAGGGGGGTTTAACCCCCTCCCCCCTCCCCCCCCCCCCGGAATTATGATACCGCTACTGGTATCCCCTTGATTCAGGGATGATCTTATTAAGTTATGTAGAAATTGTTTGCACTGCTGAACCTCGATAGACAGTGGTATTTTGGGTGGTATCAATGAAAGAATATGTTTTGGGAAATGAAAGTTTGTTTAAGTCCTGATTACAAAATGAGAAGGCAATGGAGTTGTTTTGGGGAACGCTCTTGTTGAGAAACTAATTTTCACACTATCTAGTAGTGAGCAAGTGTGGGATTGGTTGTAATATTGTAATTGAAAACTTGAACGATCACAAATATTATTATTTGTTAGAAATGATAATTCAGGCTAAATGTTTTTGGGAATTAATTTCACTCTCTCTCTCGTCCTTTCTCTGTATTGTTTAAATTATTATTAATTTCAATTAGGAAACAAAGATGATCCTTCAAATTTTAGTGTTATAAATTACGATTATATTTTATACCACCGGGGTCTTCGTTATTTAGTGTGTTGATTACAAAATGATTTTGCTTAACCATATAAAAAGTGTCTTTTTTGCTAGCTCACAAAATTTCGAATCAAATATGCCCGTACATTTACATGGCAAACGAGTACCATAGCAATGTGAAATGAATCTTCTGTGATGTATTTGAGATTGGGGTGACATGAAGCTTTTTATTTCTTAAAAGGGTGCCTTCACAAGAAAGTTGAAAACATTAATCTAGTAGACTAAAGACTGGTGTCCCCTCCCCCACCCCTCCCCAATGACTAAGCCCATGCTACACCAATGGGGAGCGAAACAATGCTTAATGTGCTCAGGGCTTCATGGAGCTTTGTTTGTTCGCAAACGATTTTTCAAGTCCATACAATAACTGCCTGACAGAGCATGCAAAGCAAACATGATGAGATCAACACACATGCCCTTGAAATTTGAAACTTACTAGTGCTTAATTCATGTGACTATGATGGGCTGCGTAACTATCCGGATAGACCGAGCTTCATGGTGCTTTTTTTGTTTGTTCACAAACGATTTTTCAAGTCCATACAATAACTGCCTGATAGAGCATGCAAAGCAAACATGACGAGATCAAGACAACGGCCCTTGAAGATTAAAACTTACACAGCCCTTGAAGTCTGAATCCACTTTTTCAATGTAGAATTTTAAATGTGTATCCACACTCTCATGCAGGTAATTATACATGACTATCCTCTTTATCATAGCCAATTTCCTGGGTGTTTAATACCAGCCGCTGAATAAGCGGGGGGTGGGGGTTGGGGGTAAGAGGACACTTTTTTTTTTGGTCCCCCAAAAAATCGCAACGACTCAGCCGACCGCTGAATAAGCGGGGGGGGGGGGGTGGGTATACCCAGGTATTAAAAACCTTTAAAATACCTCGGCCTCAATAGGGTAAGTTATGATTAGATGATTACATACCCATCGAAGTTTAACAAAGTGGATACTAATTATGGATAACTATGGTTACCAACAGCCCGAGCATACATATTGAACTCATGCCCTCAATAACAGGTTATAGTAATGAATACAAACCAACCTATATCAGTGAGACATCATTCTCAACATTATGCTTTTCTGCTGTGATTGACATGTTAAATATTAGCTTCTGCATTCCATAAAAAGGACACTTTGTTATGTGAAATTTTGAGAAATCTTGAGAATTTTTTTGTTGTTGTAAATTATACTTTTTGTATGCGTTTGATGGAAAATGACAGATCCCAAAATTTACAGTCAAACAAAATGTGCTTTTTTTAGACGCTTACATGTCTGGGCTCGACCCCCTTTTTGCACGTTTTACAAGAGTACACAAACAGAGTCTCAAAGACACACACACACACACACACACGAGCTGTGCTGATTTGACTTTTTGGGAAGTCAGATTTGTGCTTCAAAATCATCATTTTAGAAATCATGTTCACACTTTGAAAATGGTAATATATAGTGTTTTTCTATTTCTAGTAACATTTACAATTTATTATTGCGTGGGGCGAAATCGCGGACTACGAAAAGTAAAAATTGTAGTCGTCATCCCATCTACCCCATTGGATGATTCCATGTAATGTGTCCCTTGAGACATTATGCCGGTTTATTTTGTTTCTTCTTTGATCTCATCGAACAATAAAACACAAAAATCTTGATGTGACAACTAAATTACCTTAATGATTCTCGAAAGAACCATGAGACAAAATTATTTATCTAGAATTGTTCCTCTTTGAGCGAAACAAATGGATATCATTGAGTCGAATGTACGCGTTGCATAATATCGACCCTTTATAAATCAATAACATGTTTTGCTACTCTTACAAGGTCATTTTATACAACAATTTTACTGCCAAAGAAACCGTGTTCTGATGTCAAGTTTATTAAAGATCCTTCTGAACGTATTTAGTTACTGGGAGCTGATGAGTTTAACCGTACAAAATAATATGAACTCAATCACCACACACGGAATAATTAACCATCGATGCCCCCCCCCCTTAAAACCTAATTGGCAAACCTTAACTTACATTGAACATGGGTTAGGTATTCCAATTCAAATATGTTTTTTCATGAATATCATTTGATATTATTACAATCAATCGATAAATGTATTGTTATCATTATTATAAACCTATAATCCCGTATTATAGTCTTGAGCTGTCGCCAGTCAATCAATCAAGATATATATTTTCATTTAGCTTTCACCCGCAATAGATATCTGAAAAATGTTCCTAAAAAAACAGTCAACCATAATAATCTCATATTGTCCAACGTCATACCTTTACAACAGAAGTCTCCTCGTCATCCAGATAACAATCATTATCAACCCGATCGCTGCCATGACATGCCATGGTCAAGGACCGACAGAAGAACGATTCAAAGAATCTCCTGATTCCTTAATCAAACCAATAACTGAAATCTGTTGATGTATGGTCAATACACTTAACGTCCAGTTCTGTCAATTCGGGCAACCGAGACTGTCTGCTCTTCCTATACTGTGATTGTAACCCGGAAAAGCACAAAATACAACACTAAAAATCTTCTCCGTTTCACGGCGAAACAAGTGCTGACTGCGGGGTATTTAAATGAGATGTGACCGTCTCCGTACTCTGGCTACCGTCGCGATCTAATTTGCAGTTTCCGCGCTTGTGTGGCGTCAGAGAAGTCGTATTACCATTTGCAGGCGACTCCCGCCGTCATTGGCTGATCACGCGGAACCTTACAAGCTCGACTCCCGACGCTAAGTTGGCTGAATACCGTCGTAGGTTTGGGCGCTACGCGGAAATTTTCGCTCTGAGTGCGACCCCCCGCTAAGAATAGCGTTGTAGAAGGGCGCGTCGCCGGTTGCGAAACCTACTTGTTCAACGCAGTCATATGTGTCGAGAAAGACAAAGACGGGCGCTTGTCTTTCGAACGTCAAGGTGAAATATAAATGACAATGGTGTATTCGTTTTGTTTGTGTTTCGAGACTCATATTTTACTTTATACATTGCTACACCGTACGGGTAGCGATTATTTGTTTACCGTACCACTAACGCGTCACCTCGGCTAATTTTATTCCGCAGAGCGACTTGGTCAGAGACCACTCTTGAAACCGTACGAACTCTATTTAAGTATGTAGTATTCCCTCTCACTGTACTCTGGCTGTGTGAGGAAGGGGTTCACCGTTTAATGTGTATGTGTGTTTCGTTGGTGCCACGTGACACTATCATGTGACTGTGTAAATGTCGTCGCCCCCTTTATAGCAGGCGACGTTGCAAATGTTTATTTACAGACTCTTTGCAGGATTTTGGGCCTTATTTGGGGGCTACTCAGAGGTCCGATTTTAGCGATCTATATTTAAGGCTTTTAGTGACACGAGTACAATATTATGGATGAAAACCAATAGCTGTGGTTTCCTTTACTTCAGCCCAATTTGATCTGCTTGACAAGGTTCGTCTACTAGCTGTAATTTGAAAAATTAAAACGAAAGCACTGATTTCATCTCGTTATAAGCGGGACTTTGATAAACATGAGCTTTCAACATATAAAATTAGAGTATATGCCTATGTATCAACAATCATGAGGGTTGAATTATGTTAGTGATATATTATTATTTCATATGGGAATTGGTTCTCATAATCATTCCTGTCACCTTGTAGATGTTCATGGGAATCACGATAATGTTATTGAAATGATTTTTCATCCTTTGTTTTGTATGATTTGTTCTTCTATGTAATTCTGTCCTTCGACATGTTCGATGAACTATTTTGCGCGGTTTTGCTCGCGACCGAGCGGGAAAAATTGGATGTATTGACCTTTGGAACTTCTTGTTCTCTTCTTTTTTTTTCTTCATTATTCTCTTCTTCTTCTTCTTCTATTTTCTTCTTATTATTATTATTTTCGTCTTCTGTTTTTCTTCTTTTCTTTATCTTCTTCTTTTATTCTCTTCTTTGTTTTTTTGTATTCATTTTTGGGATAGGCACAGGTCCTGTTCGCTGAAACAGGTACAGAACAAAACATCGAATCTTTCCTTTACCTATATATCATTTTTCAAGCATGTTTACACATAAATAAACGTGGACAAGACCCTTCTTATGATGATGATGATGATCCACAGCACTTGTATGGTGCCATTTACCTGTTTCAAACATTCTGATGGGTGGGGAAGGGGGGGGGGCGGGAGTCATGAAATTATGTTTGATGCACCCCCACCCCATGGTATCCACGCTATATATATCTTGTAATTTGTGTTCTATCCTACATGTTATCTACATTCGCTTTGATGCGATGAGGGCAAGGCCGAGAAGATCCTAGATGGCCAAAAGTTAATTAATCACAAAATACTAAAACGTTTGGAGTAGGCGAAATAAAATGGCTGGTGCAATCACATTTTTCGGTGAGAAAAAATCACTTATCTTATCTATTTCATTTCTCAATTTGACAACATAACAAGAGTTAATAAACAAAATAGGTGCATGTAAACATTTAACAAAAGTCAAAATACATATATAATCATATCATAATATAAATCACTTAAATAGTTAATACTTAAAAAAAACATAGTTGACAAATCATTTCAAAATTGAAAATACAGGAAACCGATATCTTAAGCTTTATTGCTGTTTCATTTCCACTTATGATTACAAAAGCTATTTGACGCGAATACACATTTATTCACTTCAATTATATTTCACCAAAGCAATTAAAAAAATATAAAATTCATTCATAGAACTATGCATTGACACATTAATATATAGAATATATTGTTACATGAATAAATAGAACACATCCCTGAAAGGAAGTGACCCTTATAGTTTTCTTTGTGCATGGCTGATTGACAACCAAAGGGAGTTAAGTCTTTTGTCAACTATGTTTGTTGCTACGGCAGGAAGCCAGTGAAAACAGATTCGTTTAATCAACTTATGGAGATGCTAGCATTACTTTAAACCAACATAACTTTATTATTCCTGGCTCATTTGTCCTGATTGAGGTGTCATATGAGGGCAGAAAATGGACTTTCTAGAAATGTGATTTTCTCTTTGAAATTCAGATACCGCTCGCCAAATGACGTTTTGGTACCCTCTCTTCAAATGTTTGTAATCACTTATGCATGAAATATGCATCAAGAGTTGCATCATCAAATGAAAGAGAAGGATCTAAGCTTTACAAATATGTATCATTTATTAATTATAGTTTTGATTAAGTTATGATAAAACATCGACAATCATCGGTTTCGTTTTTTCTGGGACGCACTGTATAATTGAAAGATAAATATTAGTACCGGATTACATGACAAAATACAGCAATACAATATGCCTGACATATAATATAACAGATAATGAAACAAACGTTTTTTGGTTTAAAATAGTATTTTGCAAGAATAAATATTTTAATTCTACTTTTAATTTTTTTCAAACATCAATACACTTTTTTAAGTCGATTTTTTTTCTTCAGTAAATTGATAATTGATAGTCTATCACAATTTGTGAAAAAAAATTCTGTCATTTTAAGCATAATTTTCTTTGTAAATGAATGATAAAACATCAGCTTATTAAGATCGGTACCTTAAAGCCATTCACTTTAGAAACTATAAATAATATCCTAAGTTTGGTACATAAAGAAATGATTATGCACAAATTCAAATTCAATAATTTCTATAGATTTACGTTATCATTCGCGGGGGTATGCATTATAAATAACTGCTGGCCTGTTTTTATTGTATGTTTAATTTTTTTTGAAGAAAAAAAGTCATCGTAATATTACGGTTAGAGGGTCCTACATTAATGTGGTTGGATTGGCATGAGTGAGCTTGTATAATGGTGCCTAGCCGGAATACTCCACAGAGAGCAGAGCGTGTGTACTATAATGTGCGGATTAACATTTGAATCCAATGACGGGGAAATAGTACATACAATATAAAACGCTTTAAAACGTAGTATTAAGTCGCTATACAAATGTGACTATTATAAAAATGAAAAATTCCCATGGATCATAGAACCTAAGAGGCCAATACAACGGAATTCTTAATAAATAAGAATAGGATCACATATTTTGTATACGTTTAAATGGAGGATCGAGAAAGTTCAACTAAATGGCATTTCACAGTGATTGTGTGTGTATTTATTTGTCAAATGGTCGTTGCCAATAATTCGAGAACAATGGAAATCGCTCATCCTCATTTATTTCGAATCCGTCTTGGCACTATGAACATGACGGACAAAGAAAGAGGACAAAATAGACAGTTCCTCATTCTATCCTCAACAATTGCTGTGGTAGACAAAGGAACTCCCTTCACTGCTATTATGTAAAAATATGTAGAACAGGGGTCTTATGCATATTCACCTGTTCTACACATTTTTACATAATAGCAGTGAAGGGAGTTCCTTTGTCTACCAGAGCAATTGTTGAGGATAGAATGAGGAACTGTATATTTTGTCCTCTTTCTTTGTCCGTCATGTTCATAGTGTGGACTCCTCGACCCATTTCAATTTGCTGTGGTTCAAGAGAGCATCAATTTTCTTCTCCAGACGGTCGAAGCGCTCCTTCATCTGTTTCTGCTCGGCGCAGATTTGGGTTATGTCGCCTCCGATTTGGACAATCTGCGGTCCCTCTTCTTCGACCCTCTCGCTAACTGTCTCCACTTTGGTATCAATGAACTTCAGACGGTCCTTGAGTTTGGTGAACAGTTGTTCGGTCGTGACTTCCTCGTGCAAGAATCCGCCCTGGTATTATCCAAAATAAAAATAAATGATAAGTAAGTGAGGCGAGAGGGCTCATTGGAAGAGCAGTGGTCTCGTTACCCTTTGGTTAGGCATTAATCCTCATTACCAAGTCCCTCGGAGAGGAATTAAAGCCATCGATCCCCTGTGGTTGTTTACTTACAAGTGTACAAATGCCCAGTCTTAGCAGTCAGATTAAACAAACAAACAAACAAACCTTTAAAGGAAGTGCAGATATTTTTTGTTCCTGCTTCAAAAGTCATGAAACAGTATTTCAGACCTAGATACGCAAACAATATCCTAGGAATAAATTAGTTATATATAACGTAAAAGAACACTATCCTTATATTATCATTACTGTCGATATATAGGCCTCATTTTGAATTTGTAATCTCTTTGTAGTGCATTTCGATAGCAATCATTAATACAGATAGCATAACTTCAGCAGATAATTTCAAATATATACCAAATTTCATTAGACACTAGTCGCTTGAAATCTTTAATTTTATTAGCATTGTAAAAAGATCCAACTGCTATCAACCAATTTAATAGCGAACCACTTTAACATGATTTTATAATTCACTCTGTAATAACCCCACTATTGCATTAGTTTATGAGGAGGGTATTAACCTTCTTCTTCTTTAAATCGTATGAGGAGGTTGCACAATACAACTTCGCATATTCTTACCTGTGCCGTAGTCTTGTTGCAAACCTGAATGGCCTTTCGAAGGAGGTTTTGGTCTCCAGTCAGCGTACGGTACCACTTCTGCAGTCCGCTGCAGCACGACCGATTAAGATTGAAGCGTTTAAACCTGATGACAGCCG